CGGAAATCTCTGCTGCGGAAAGACCAGAATTAAAGGTACAATAAGGTACACCTGACTAAAGGGTTAAGCCAAGGAGGCCAGTGCCAGAGGCTGCCTCGCCTCCTCGCCCTCGCATCCCGCGTCCCGTCCCGCGTCCCGTGTCCCGTGTCCCGCGTCCCGCATCCCGGGGCAGGGACTCTGCTGGAAGCAAACCTAGGCAGAAGCCGAGGGGAGGTGAGGTTACCAGGAAGTACAGACAACCAGAGAATTTCACTGTGGGTGCCCGCCAGGCCAGAGCAGGCACAAGAGGACATGAGGGAAGTGTGTGTGCTCGTGCCGGGAGCCTCCTGGCGGCCAGAGCCTGACCGCGGGGGTTAGGACACCAGCAGGCCTCTCTGGGAACTGCTCAGATTCCCAGGCTTTCCCGCCTCCTCCAGGGCTGTTTGCCACCAGAAGTTACAGGCCTTCAGCTCTGTGCTGGGAATGGTGCTCTCTACTCTTCAAGTCCATGAGCTAAGATGAAAACTAAGTCCCAGTAAAGGATGTTAACCATCACCAGTTCCTCCCAGTCAAGCTGTGTCGTCCCCAGCCCCGCCCGAGTCCTGCTGCAGGCTGTAAACCTGAACTCAAACAAACTTGGTTCTAGATATGATAGAAACATCATAAACAGCACTTCCTGGAAACAGAACTCTTCTCGAAAAGGCCGTCAATTGTGCTAACCGCAGGGCAACTCACTGTACCTGGTGCCCTATTTTTTTTTTTTTTTTGTGAGGAAGATCAGCCCTGAGCTAACATCCATGCTAATCCTCTTCTTTTTGCTGAGGAAGACCGGCTCTGAGCTAACATCTATTGCCAATCCTCCTCCTTTTTTTTTTTCCCCCAAAGCCCCAGCAGATAGCTGTATGTCATAGCTGCACATCCTTCTAGTTGCTGTATGTGGGACACGGCCTCAGCATGGCCGGAGAAGCGGCCCGTCGGTGCGCGCCCGGATCCGAGCCTGGGCCGCCAGTAGCGGAGCGCGCGCACTTAACTGCTAAGCCACGGGGCCGGCCCCTGCCCTATGTTTTAAATGATGGTCGAGATTTGATAATGCTTACCGAATCAATCTACAGCGTTGTAACAAGTGGTTTAAAAAATAGAATAGAAAATATCGGAATGCACAGTACCTGGTAAAGGTGAGTATTGTCTGGCAAAACTTTTTTCACGTCTGTATACACACAATGCTTGTCTGTGCACATTTATTGCACACATGCTGTGTCATAATGTAGTGTATTTCTTACAGTTCTCACTGTTGGTTAGCAAAAAAAGAAAATACTCTTCCACAATACTACAGACCTGACTTCTGCTTCATCACAGGACACAGATGACATGTAGATTACATACTGTCCTTTCTTCAAGTTAAATAAATTTGTTTTCAAGTGCAAATTACACATTATTCCTGTTCTTTCAAAAGGCAGGTTCTTTTGAAAGCAAATAAATAATGTATAAAAGCCTGTAATGGCCTTTTAAGTGGCAAAACCTCCCTAGATGCCTTGGGGTGCAGGAGAAGGAGGCAGAACCTCAGTGGGCTTCTCCAAGTACAATCCGGAGGTCAAGGTTGGAGCCGGTATTTGGGGAAGTGGAAGCTCACACCCAGAAAAAGCCATGTCCGCCTGTAGAGAGACCTACTTATCTGATAGTCTCGCATAAGCAAGAGAGGGCAAAAGGCAGAATGAAAGACACCACAAAACAGGGAAACAAACAGAAAATCCTGAATGTTGAAACCACGGAGTCCTCAATACTAGCATCATCGTCAAAACTAAACCAAGGCCGTGTTCCCAACGCCTCTTCCAGTTCCTGTGAGCATCCCACAGCCAGGGGAGCCCAGGCGCTCAGGAAAACTAGTCAAGGGGTTTCCCCAGACACAAAGGCCACGTCCCGTGATTCCACTGAATGATTTGGGGAAGAGGCCACCCCACAGAGACACAGAGCAGACTGGTGGTTGCCGGGGGCTGCGTGCTGGATGGGTACAGTGCCCTTCTGGGGTGACAAAAATGTTTTGGAACTGGACAGAGGTGGTGGTTGTACAACATTGTAAATGTAGCAAATACCATGAAATTGTATACTTTAAAATGGTTCGTTATATGCTATGTAAATTTTATCTCAATTTAAAAATTAAAGAAAGAGAAAGAAAGAAAGAAGGTAGAGTTTCAAGGGAAAAGAGGGACGTGTGGCCAAAACGAGGAGAGTGGGAAGACAAGGAACCCAGGGTGCTGGCGACCCCACTGTCTCGGCGGAACTCCGGCTCAGGGCTCAGCTGAGATCCAGTTTGTGAGGGTGACAAGGACAAAGGTGAATTGACTGGGGTAGGAGGAAGGGGGCAGAAAGGGCACAGGGAAGATGGCGGCCAGAAGCACTTCGGAAAAGGAGCACGTTCAGAGCTGCTGAGACAATGCAAGTTAGGATTCATAGCACACTGATCCCTTCAGACACAGGGGCCAAGAAACGCTGAATCAGACAGACGAGGGGAGGGGTGGAAAGGCAACCAGCAGAGACGACAAGAGAATATTCCTGAGAAAGGCCGAGAATGCCCCCCCAAATGTCCTCACACACAGATTAGGAGATAAAAATAGAGCCAAAGCCACTAAGGAATGAATGGGAGAGAGAGAGAGAAGAAAGAAAGGGAGGGATGGAGGAGGAATGAGATAGATATTGGAATAGAAAATTACTTGCTGGTTCATAAGAAATTTGACTTGCAGAGGTTTCTGGTTGGCTTCAAGCAGAATGATTGCCTGGTTTTGTGCCTTTTGTTTGGGCTTAAGACCACCGTCTCTCAGTAACAGCCACTTAATTAGCATATTCAAGACAGGGATCTATTTATGGCCAGCCTCACTGGTCTGTTTTCAAAAGTAAATGGCAGGATACCACGATCCATGCATAAATGTTTACTGAACACCTCCATGTGCTAGGCCTGGGCTACCGAGCTAGCGGGGCACAGACTCTGCCTTCTAGGGGTACCAGAGAGCACAGAGGGGCCGGGGGACTGGATGGCTTCCTCTCGACAGGGGGAGGTAGAGAAAGCTCGCACTTAGGAAAGACAGGCCTGTGGTCAAATCCCAGCTCCACTTCTAACCAGACTTGTGACTTAACCATGCTGGGACTCGGTTTCCTTACCTGTAGAATGGGGATGACACCTGCTCAAAGGGTTGTTATGAGGAATAAATAAGGTGGGATATGTAATGTACCTAAGCAGGGGGTTGTCAGTAGTAGGTTCTTGATATAAGTAACTGTTTTTAGTTAAATGTGAAAATGTGGGGCGTGGGGAAGACATTCAGGCCAGAGGGAGTGGGGGGGGGAGGACAAAAGCCAGAGAAAGCATAGCTCCCTGGGGGAGGACCTAGAGGGTGGGGCTGGGTGAAGTACAGGTAATGCAATAGGTCATGTAATAGGAGAGGATCTGTAATAAGAGAGGCTGGTCAGAGGGTGGGGACTCATTCCATGCTAAAGAACTGGGCTTGAGCCTGTGGGCAGGAGGGCAGCACGTGGAATCTCCCACCCAGTCCCCTCTGCCACATCACCATGGGCTATTCTTGAACCCTTTCATCCTCCAGATTCTTACAAAATTTATAAACATCACCTTCTGGTCACTGGCCCTCTGACGAAGGCAAGTGATCTCACTTAAATGGCCTGGAAAAGGAACGTAAACTGGTTAATGAACTTACCAACGTCTCAGTAAACATCTGCTGAGTGAACATCTGTTCTAGACTCCATGTTTCCCCCTACACCCCAGAGACGATGCTCACGTTATCCACAGGCAGGCCGGCTAGTTGCTGCAAAACTGTGGGCCCCTATCTGGGGCTCTTCGTTTTCCCAAAAGCATCACCTCAAAACTCACCCTGAGCCAAGATGGAGAGCAGAGAAAATGCTGTCTTTGTCACCTCCTAATCTTGATGCATCTACACCACTTCCAGTGTGAAAACAAGATAGAGTTCACAATGTTTCACAGATAGTAAGAAAACCGGCTAGAATCTGTTTCTGCATGAAAAAAACCTGGCTAAAAGCTTATAAAGTACTATCATTACAAAGAAATTAAAAATTTTTTCTCACTTTCTAACTTTATAGGCTAAAAACAACTTCTCTGCCCTGCTTTTCGGGGGGGGGGGGCATGTTGGAGAATACGTTTATTTGGTCAGGTAGCCAGATACTGGAAACTACACTGTCAGTGGGACACAGACTCCAGGCGACCTACCTCCTCCTGCAGCAGATGCGAAACTGAAATCCTGGAATCCGATAGGGTCGGAGGGAGCCGGGTCCTGGGGAGGGGATCTCTTTCTCAACTCACTAGGAAGACTGGGTGCTAGATAAACAAACGAAACCTCCCAACAACCGCCCGCGCCCGGTGGCTCTCCTGTTATCACGCTCTGTCCCGCCCCGCGAGCCCCTCGCGTGCACAAGGCCCGTGCCCGGGGCTGCGGGTACTGATTCTCTACCAAACGTGCCCAGGGACTGACTGGGCTTTTCTCTACACACTCTCCTCGCCTGTACAATGCGCCAGGAAAACAATTCCAACAAAACAAAACTTCACCGGGAGCGGTTCTCCAATCCACATTGAAAAGACCGGAACGTTTATCGGCGGAGCAAAGTGAGACCCTTTCTTCTTGGGGTGGTCCTGGGAGAACCAGGCCACACAGCGGCAACAAATGCAACGAGGAATGCAGGCTTCCCCAGGCTCCTCCGTATCCAACACCCTGTGGCAGGCCGGCTGCATCCTCCAAAACCGAGCGCCGAGGGGCCTCGGCCAAGCCGCGAAGGGGGCGGGTGGGATGGGCACGCCCACCTGGATACGACTGGGGAGACTCGGGTCTCAGCCCAAACGCCTGTGTGGCTCCTGGAGGAAACTGAGGCAGAGGGGGCAGTCAGGGGCACCCCCAGCGACGAGAAGGCGCAACCTGCATCCACTCAGCGCCCCGCAGCGTCCCTCCTCCTCCCGCCGCCCCATCCCGGGGCGCCCCGGCTGGGAGCGAAGCCCGGGGCAGTCTCACCTGGCCTGCGGCCCCGGGTGCCGGCCGACAGCAGGGGGCCGCACAGACTCAGGCCCGCGGCCACGAGCAGCAGCCGCCGCGGCCCCATTGTCCGAGGCTCGGCGCGCTCGGC